CCAGCCGTTGCTGCCGCAACTGCAGCAGAAGCAGCAGCAGCTGCTGCTGTAGTTGCTGCGGCAGCAGCAGCAAATTCCTTTATTCCTCATTGGCGCAGATGACGTCGTCGATCTTGAGGATCATTTTGACGACCTGCAGATCGTAAACCCCAAACCCTAAACCCTAAACCGTCAAACCCTAAACCCTCGCTCGGTCAGCACCTGCAAACCCTAAACCCCCAAGCCCTCGCTAGATTGGCTCCAGACGCGCGGAAGGCAGGCTCCAGGGTTTTATGTCTCCCGGCGACTCCAGGGTTTAGGGTTTAGGGTTTAGGGTTTAGGGTTTACCTGGGTGGCCAGCAGTATCTGTTGCCTCTTTGAGGCGAGAGGTTCCCACACTTCCTGCTCCCTCATATCGTGTGTGCCCTGCGCGCAAACCCTAAACCCTAAACCCTCGAAAGCCCCTCAAGAGGCTTCCCAAACCCTCTCAGAGGTGCCTCAAAACCCTCGGTAGTATATGTTTCCAAACCCTCACGCCAGTCACTCACTATAAACCCTCTAAGTAAACCCTAACCCTAGACCCTCTTAAAGTAAACCCTCAAACCCCCAGATAAACCCTCGCAACAAACCAAACAAACCCAACTAAACCCTCTTGCTCAGGGTTTAGAGGGGCCCCCAGGGGCCCCATCTAAACCCTTTGTAGGGTCTCTTTTGAAGACCCTCTAAACCCTCTTTAGGGCCCCTTTAAACCTTTTTTTTAGGGGTCCTCTAAACCCTCTTTCCGGGTTTCTTCAAACCCTCCTTCGGGGTTGTTTAAACCCTTTTTCGGGGTTGTTTAAACCCTTTTTAGGGCTGCTTTAAACCCTCTTCAAAGCCTTTTAAGGCTCCAAAGAAGCCCCTGAACTAAAGCCTTAACCCAAACCCCCCTCTAAATCCTCGTTTAAACCCCCCTCTAAATCCTCCTTTAAACCCCCCTCCAAACCCCCCTCTAAATCCTCCTCTAAACCCTCCTCCAAACCGTCCCCTAAACCCTCCTGCAAACCCCCGTCTAAACCCTCCTGCAAACCCCCCCCCAAACCGTCCCCTAAACCCTCCTGCGAACCCTCCTCTAAACCCTCAACTGACGAGTTGCATGCAGTCGATGCCGAGGTAGGGGCAGTTTTGCTGCGCCTGGAGGGTTTTGAGGGTTTGTGCTGCTGCTGCTGCACTGAGGCCAGAGTTTGCTGCTAGGGTTTCGGGGAGGGCGAGGAGGGCCTGGGCGAAGGCCATGGCGGGCAGCTGCATGGGGGCCGGCAGCGTTGGCGCTGCTGCCTCCGTTGCTGCTGCTGGTGGTGT